CTGTGAGGCTGCTCCTTCACAGAATCAGTGTGAGAACAGTGATTCTCAGGAATGCAGTTATAGCTTAACCAGAAACTATTCGATGCTCCAAAACCAGGCATGCAGTAGAAGAAATTTCTAGCAGATACGAGTTGTTGATGAGAAAAAGGCACAAAGAAACTATAGTCATGAGGGGGCAAGGGACACTGTGAGCTCTTTCTGTTCTGCTAAATCCTATTTGGATTATTTCAGATGCACTCAAAGAGTCAGCTGCTTATACTTTGTAGTGGTGTATGAAGTTGCTTGGGGAGTTTAAAGAGACCTGCTTTGGAAACAAAAGTACAGAAATCTTCAGAAACAGTTCAGAACAGAACTGCTTCCTGCAATTAGGAGCAGGCTCTAATTTATTTACTGGTAGATGGATATCATGCCAAGAATAAAAAAATAGTGTATTTGAATAAATAAATAGTCCTTACAGTGCCATGAAGAATTATGCACCTAGCACTGTGGTATTTGAGCTCTGGGGAGACCTTATAACAGCCTTTCAGTACCTGAAGGGGCCCTACAGGAAGTCTGGAGAGGGGCTTTTTATAAGGGCATGCAGTGAGAGGACAAGGGGTAATGGCTTTAAACTGAAAGAGGGTAGGTTTAGATTAGATATTAGGAAGAAATTTTTCACTATGAGGGTGGTAAGGCATTGGAACAGGTTGTCCAGAGACACTGCGAATGCCCCATCCCTGGAACTGTTCAAGGCCAGGCTGGCTGGGGCTCTGAACAACCTGGTTGAATGGAAGGTGTCCCTGTCCATGGCAGGGTAGTTGAAACTAGATGATCTTAAGGTCCTTTCCAACCCAATGGATTATATGACTATATGATTATATGATCATATAATGCCCTAAATAGCATACTATCATCTGCTACTTGTTAATCTGTCTTTGTCAAGTCAGGGAGGAAACTGAGAAATTTCTTCAAAATTCTTTTTTGCGCAGTTCAGTGGCGGAGCTTTTTCAATGGAAGTGAGTTCAAAAGAAGTGAACTATTGCCCTTTGAAATCTTTAGTGGCATTTAAGATAGCCCAAGTCAAACAGAACTATAGATCTAAGGCACTTGTGTAATGTAAATGTAAATATTAAGAACTCAAAAATCTTTGAAGTTTATTAGGGTTAAAGCTAGACAAAAGCCTATAGTGTAGACTTACAATTCAATGACTAATATATACACATAACATTTCAATAAACTTAACTGAGTCACTCTAAAAAGTAATATATAATCTACAAACATCAATAGAAACCCAAGACCTGCATAGCAAAGCCCAGAGAAATTGTTTTTCTTCCCAAGTCCGATCTTGGCCTTGCTGTTACAAAGATGCTGCCAATTCATACTTCCAGTTTCAAATCAATATTTTCAATGCTTTTGGAAAGGAGAACATGTTTAAAGTCAGTGGTGAATCACTTCATTTTCCACACTTTTCTGTGCATGTTACTGCGGGTTATTTATGAATTTCAAAATACAAATGTAGGGTTTGTCTGCAAAGGGATACTGAGTCTGAACTAGCTGAAGAAGTGGTATTAGAAAGGAGTTGAATGCCAGTAAAGTCCTCCTGAACCTTTCAATTCAGAATAAAACCTGAAATTTTAACTTAAATAAATGGAGTTAATGGCTGCAGAGTTAATTAAACCCATCACAATTCTGAACCAAGCCATCCACACAAGGGTTGAATGTGTACTTTCCTATTTTGTGATTGGACCAGCAGACATTAACTCACCCGTTCAGGCTAGTTCTCAAAACAACAAACATGCCAGCTCTCAGCACAGCTCCGTGGCACCCACTGCAGCGGCAGCTCCATCTCGGCTTCCCTGGAGCGGCTGCCGGGCAGGTCTGGGCGCGTGGGCAAGCAGCACAGGGCCCCTGCGTGACGCCTCAGTCAGAGGCAACAGCTTCAGAAGAAAGAAAAACAACTTTCCTCAGCTTAGCTATGCAGGTCTTGGGTTTCTATTGACATTTGTACGTTATATATTACTTTTCAAAGTGACTCGCTTAAATTTATTGAAATGTTACATTTATTTCACTGAGTCAGCACAGCATCCTGGACTGAGCAAATGTGGCTGGATGTATATGAACCTGAACTTTGTCCAAACCAGAGAAGGAAAACTAGAATTGTTTTAAAGCTTTCCTCTGACAGTGCATTTGAACTGTGGGTGTGCTAACCTATTTGGACTGTTTCCAACCATTAAAAAAAAATCCTACTAGTCCATTCAATCTCAAAGCTGGATTTTCCCACCTTAGTTTCCTCAAAACTCTGTTACATCAAACAGAACAATATGACCAGATCAGTGTTCATTATCATACTTCTTTTTCATCTCTCAGTACAGGCTGTAATGAATAAATAATATGGACCTATCATGTGAAAACATCGGTTTAGTCCAACACTTCTAAGCAGCAAAAAGTAATCCATAAAAAAAGATGTGTATCTGAGTTAAAACCAGGAATCAGCCTGGAATAAATAATAGTAAGAAAAATTCTTTAGAATTCACCCTGAACTCAAGGACCACTTGCTGCTGCTAGAGCCAGAAGATGCCACTTATACTCTGGTGTATGCAGCTTCTTAAAATGCACTCACTGTTACTTTCCCTCATCATTACCATTCACACAAATTAAAGCACTGGTGGGTAATTTTTAATTTATGATCATTATACTGCAGAATGTATAAGTCATTGCCATTAAAGGGTACAGCTACAAGGTCATTCCATACAGGCAGATTTTGCTTTATTAGAAGTACCCAGATCACATTTTGAATGCTTCTTCATACACAGGCAACGTAGAGATATGTAAATGGAAATAGAAGACAGTGAAACTACAATAGAAATTATTGTTTAACTGTATCACTGCAAATCCCACGGACTCAAAAGCATAAAACCAAACATCAAAGGGTCTAAATGAAACCTCAGATTAAGATTTACATTTGAATCTCTGCCTCAGTTGATGCCACATACAACTGAACAGTCTCGACCAAAAGAGTGGCCCATGCTCCCTGAATTTTGATGAAAAACTGAACTTGCAGCTCATTGCATCCCAGGCCCTTTTCTGCAGTCAGTTTGGTTCTTTTACATGCACCCTCCTGCACACTGTGTGCACCCGTAATGATATAACTGAAGCTGCAGGACGTCGAAGAAGAAAGGCAAAACCAGGTCCAAAAACACTTAAATGATCACCAGGCCAAACCTAAAAAGGATAAACTAAGCAGACATTTATTTCTCTCAGAATGATATTAAATACATTGCATGTTTCCCATAATAAAACTACACCGGAAAATCAAGCATGTTTTTTTTTGACCATTAATATAATTATTATTTTCAACATACCAAATTCAGACTTGGATCATGACACACAACCATGTATTTACTTGAGGAGAATAATATATTTAATGATGTGCTTAACAATCATAGAGGCAATTATGTTTGGCAAAAATATGTTTATGTTTTTAAAATCAGCTTGAATCAAAAGATCAGTTTCAATGCATATTGAAATGGAATCTGAAAAAAAAATAATCCCTCCCCCTACAACTTCATCTCACCAACCTGAAGCTAAAACTGTCTGAATAGTCTTGTAGGCATGCTCCAAAGCATGGAAGTAGGCAATAATATTATCCACATGAACTGATGTTGCTAAAAAAGGCAAATGGGGAATGCATTGGGAAGTGGCTCATTTGCCCGCAGAAAGAAATCTATTTGCTTGGTTTCCATAGAGAGGAAAGAGAAATTTTGCTAACCCTGAGATTTCCAGCAGGTCAGCACAGTAGGGCAGTTGCAGGCGTTTTGCTCATGGAGGAGTCACCAGCAGAAGGCCAGTTAGATATGTCTCACTCTGTTTGTTTATCATACGTAATCCTGGTAACCAGATATAGACTTCCACTGTTAATCAAACACTTGCCATCATGCTCATGACTAATGTAACATAAAATATTTGTTCTCCTGATATAAAGCATCATCTAATGGCAAATATCATCTCCTAATGAAGCACAATGATGCTGAGCCCAGGAACACCAAGTTCACAAAGCAAAAGGTTGCCAGCCATGGCTGTCTCAGCCTTCCCCCTCCAGGCTGGTAGAGTATATCCTGAGACATCCCTATCTGTCCTTTGCATTCAAATGAGACAGTTCTGATCATATTCAGTGGAAATATATCACAACTCACACAGAGGTCCTTTTGCTTTCACAGTGGAAATTAACTTAGGAAAAGAGCTCAGAAAGGTCTCCGAGTCCTTGCTTAACTTCTTAGAAAATCCAATACTTTTGAGTCACAGAAGCAAAAAGAAGAAGCGAGCACAGTGTATTATGCTCATAACCTGTGTCCATCCTGCTTTAGTACACTGAGTCCAAACCTGCAGAGACAAGGAGAAGGCAGGAGAAGGCAGGTTAGAGGAGTCAGGGTCAAAATTTGTGGCAGGTCAACATGAGAAACTGACTCTTGAATGGAGTGATGGGAGGCACAGAAAAGGCTGAGATAGTTTATGAAGAGATGATACAGTAGATATTGCTATTGAAAAAAAGAACTGCAGAAAGCAAGTGTTACAAGTCTATTCCTGCAAAACCTGTCTGCTTTTTCTTCATGGGGAAACTGAGCTATCTAGGCTGGAAATACTTGCTTTGGGTAGTTGCCTTTCTCTTCTCAGCAGTCTACCATATATTTCAATATCTTTATAAAGCCTGAAAACTTTGTATTGTAGATAAACTTATGGCAGACTTGCACAAATCAGCAAAAGATTCTCAGCATAAAGAGCCTGGCTATGATGTGTGTTCACACATGCACCCTGACGTGGCCCAGTACTTTCTCCTACAGAAAATCGATCCTGATCCTGGTATCTGATTATTTTCCCCAAGCTGGGCTGCTATCCTCATTAAAAACCCTGCTGTGCCATCCCAGCTGCCATAAAGAAAAGAGAGTCCATAACCTCTTTCTGCGTTGACAGGTACGAAGGTGGATTAAGAGCCCGATGGTCAATGCTGAGAAGCACCCACATACCAGCCTCAAATACCCAGGGTCCACTGTGATGCATTTACCTCCAGGAGATTCGGAGCTTGAGCCTCCACTCTGCCAGACCTGCCTGAACGATCACCCTTTCCAGCGAGGGATTGCTCCTCAGGAGGCTGAGTCCTGCTCCTGGGAGAGTCAGAGAAACAGCAAAGTAAGCCACTATTTCCTTCCACCAAACTTTGTTTACATGTTTTACACTCATAATGGATCTGTACTTACAATGGGTCTGTACTTATGAGATGGTGCTTCCCTTGAAGAGAAGGGATTCTCCAAATCCTGAAACTCTGCTGACCAAGACTGTTGTGCATATCTGTGCTCTGCTTTCTACCCTGGACTTTGATATCTATGAAAAATGAAGGACTCTTCACTAAGGTGGTGTGACGTACTCTCACAGTATTTGAACAGATTAGCAGTAACAAAAAGTATTATTTACCTGTTTTACACAAACAGGTGTAGATAGGTGATGAAAAGGACCAAGACTTGCTAATTTTTTCCCTGTCTGTCCCACAGACACCAGCCCACCCTCCTTCCTCCCCCCCCAGCCATATCTAGCGTTCTAGAAGTCAGAATTTGGCTCGGAGTTTTCCATGACAGGAGGTGAGCGATTCAGCAGTGTTTTTAGCAGAAGGGAAACCCTGTTTTGCCTCAAGTCATGCCAGTATGTTATAAATGACATCATTCTGCATGTCGTGCTGGACAGTTGCACATAGATGTGAAGGTGGCAAAACTGTAAGGCCTGAGATGAAATGGTCAAGAAGGGGTTTTTCAGAGGCGGGCTTTTCAGAGGTGGGCTTTTCAGAAGCAATCTTTGGACCTTTCTTTCATCGTTCACCTCCACCTAATCCCTGTCGAGACAAGCCAAATGCAGAACAGAAAGTTTTGCTCAGAGCCTGTTATCCCTGACAAAATTATCCCTTCCTGAAAATGGTGCACAAAAAAGGAGACAGTTGTAGAAACATAAAAGTAAACAAATAAGAATCTTTCCAAGTACAAAGCAGAGCAAAATGTGACAAGGCATTTATCAGAGACTTAGCACACAGCTCAGAGCCGAAACATTTTTTTGAGTTGCATCTGCTGCATTTTTAAATGGGGAAATTCCAGCAGCAGGTAGAAATGGAATTCCTGTGTGCTCCTTAAACCCAGCAAAGGCATTTGGTGAAACATGTGCAAGTGGAGGAGCTAATTACTGCTCCATTTTACTTCATTAAGAAGATTACTTTTGCAAAGGCTGAAGCATTAAAAAATGAAAGCAGCAAAGATGACGGATTCTGCAAATCCTTTGCCTTGCTGTAAATCACATGTACTCCTGTACAGCTGTAGGGCCTCACAACTGATTTCCATTAGGTTTTACATGCATATGGGATAGATTTGGCTGAATGCAGATTCCCCTGGACCTCTCTCAGTCTCCTTACTGGAGGCAGTGGAGAGGTTGCTTACTCAGCAGCAGGAGTCTGCAGCAAAGAGATATTTTGCACACTGCTTTAAAAACATTGTTGTCTGGCAAAAGACTTCTTGGATAGAGCTATCCTGCATAAGGAGTCTTTCAGTAAGTTCAAGCACAGAGTCCTTGATGTGATTAAATGTAAGGTCACTGTCTCTTTCTCTACAGTAAAACCAGGCAGGAAGCTTTTAATAATAAAGGCTGAAGGAGTTCTATGTCTGACCTTTTCAAGGTTTAAAGAGAGTTTCCGGGTGAGACTCTGTTCAAGGGTTACAAATGGCACGAACTGCATAAACGTGAAATAACTCCCTTCACTATAAATCAATGAACTTGAACAGACAGTTCCGTATTTCAAGAAGAGAACCTGGTCTCTGTTAAATCAGCAGGGAGCTTGGAATGTGCCAGACATCTCTCCTAGCTAATTCTTGTTTCTTTTTCCCCCACTACTCTTCCTTCTCTGTTTTTCAGTGCTGCAACCAGGTACTGGTATAGTGATTATAGTTCCTTTGTGCTGTGTCCAACAGCAACATATACAAGGGTCCCACTGACGCTGTTCTTTTGCTCAAGGACAAATTAACTGAAAAACAAATCAGCCGTGAAATATTATTAAAGGCTTATTCTGGCAACAATCTTTCTCTGACAGGTTTCAGGCTACTCTGACCAGTTTGAAAAAGGTCTTATAGATACCAACCTGATTAAAACCCACCACCAAAGGGAACACATCTGTATTCCCTATTCTTATTTGCAACACAGAACAATGGAAAAAAATCATTACTGTTTGTTTACTGTGATGGTAATTATGTAGTGAAGTCTTTAAAAATTGACTTAGTGTAAATAAGATTATATTGAAACTAAAATTATTTTAAATAATGAGATTTTTTTCTTATGATATGTTTTCATTTCCACCTCCCCAGGCTTTCCTATTAAGGCACGTGTCAGGTGGAGTTTCTAAAAATGATTACTGATGTAACCCCTACTGTCTCCTCTACTATTTGTATCAGAGTGTATTATGTCTGTATTTTTATGACATTTTTTCTGCATTCTATACACTAGACTAGATAATTTTCAAACACTGCCAGATAATCATGCTAATTTTCACACGACTGACTTACATAGGTATATTATTGTTTTTTGTAACTGATGTGGATTAGTTATATGGAAGCTTATATCTGCTCTACTAGTGTAACAGCTGAAGCCCTAAAGGCTTTGGACCACTGCCAAGGTAATGATTTACAATAACCAGTCCTCACTTTTCCATGTCTATCTACATAGTTCAGGTTGCACAAAATTCACTGGCTTGATGAAGAGGGTAAATTTCCTTTCAAAATAAATTACCATGCTGTGTAATGAATACCTTGTGTAAATAAGCTGGCTTTGAAAGAGCAGGCAACCCACCTTTTAGAGTTACATTGCAGCCTACTAAATAGAGGCTAACATGGTGAATACTGGGTGCAGTCTAAATCTTTCAGGTGAGGGTTTACCAGGCTACGTTATCAAACATAAATCATACACACATACACACACACAAAATTCTTTCATACTCTGCATGACCTATGTATTCCACTTGCACTGTATTTTTATGCCCTTGTTTCAAATATTTCTGTAAATAAACAAAAGATAAGACCTTGTTAGTGAGCTCAAAATATCTTTCTTTTTTTCTCAAACAGAGCCAAGAGCTAGGTTCAAGGCTTGTTCTGTTCTTTCCTTATTGTCTAAAAAAACTCCAGTTGCCCTATCCATCAGCTGACATTTGTCCTGAAGCACCACAGACACATTTCTATCTAGTAAACCAAAGCCTTGAATGTCCAGAGCTGTCTTTTCTTTCCAAAGCTAAACAAAACCCTTGTGCTGCCCCGAGCTAAGGGAAGGGGAAGGAATGAGAGAACTAATGTGTTTACCTCATTTAGGAAACATGACTTTAAACTGCCAGGAGCATGCATGTGCATTCAGTTCAGTACAGCCACCACTGCACGACTGGGTGTCAGGGGTGCTGAGCGGGGCATTCAGCCCCATTAGCCCCAGAAGGGGTCTGTCCCCACACATATAGTGGGTTTTAGTCTCTTCATTCTCTCTTATCACCTCTGTGGGGCAGGTGGTGGAAAAGAGATGGAGGCTGCTGAGGGAGTTGCCCTGTCTTCCTACACCCACAGCAGTCCATCTGTCCATAGCATCTTCTGTGAGGAAGCATCAGGAAAATCTTTCTTAAGGCTGCAGGGAATTCAATGCTGCCATCTTTTTGGACAAGTCCTTTGCAGCGTAGTGGAACTTAATTACTCTTAGAAACACTTTTTGGATTGTGTTATTAAATCAACAGCAGGAATTTATTTTATTATCGAAAGTCATTCAAAGCTCCTGTGTATAGAAGAGCTCTTGATTTCGGTCAGATTTCAGCACTTTGCCGTATTTTAAGTCTTGCTTCAGAGCTGAGGAATACTGAAAAAAATTTACCCAAACCAAAGGTTTGGCAATTATTTGAAATAGTTCTACTTATAAATCTCTCCTACAAATAACATACAGCTTCTAGAAACCTGCATTTGAAACAGAGTAAGAATGTGCTTCAGATGAAATACATTTCATGAAGGGGCATAATAAAAATAAATGCCTTTTAATGGATTAAGAAAATGTGGAGATGAAATAAAATATCTGACTAGTTCTCCACAGAGAATGAGTTTGGTGACAGATCTGAGTGGGCTTTTTAGGGAAAGATGGTTTTCTCACACATTTTGGATAAAAAACCCTCCTACATCTAATGATCTGCTCTGGTAATGAGGCACCCTGTGATTTACACCCTGATAAGTGTTAGTTAATACACAAACACATGCACATACACAACAGAGGAAATGAAAATCCTGAAAGCCCAGTATGGCACAATTACTCCTGGAATGTGAAAAGTACTGCAATAAAAGATAATTTGGAAAAGTAGAAATAAAAAAAAGGAAAGTTTGGGTAGCAGAATTGTTCAGTGAAATCAGATCTGGAGAGGACTGTGAGAGGCTCTAATAAACCTAGGCAAATTAACAACCTGATGGCAGATTACCCCTGATACAGACAGAAACACAGTAATGTGCTTTGATGGAATAATTATAACTACCCAGTACACACTGCAGGGTCTTGAATTAACTGTGATTGTTCTAGAAGGCAGCCCTGGGTGCCACAGAGAGTAGCTTACTGAAGACCTTGCCTCAGAAGTGTAGCTCAGGAGGTTAATCCCACACAGCAAAGCAGGCATTCTGTGCATTCATTTAGGAGTACAGCCCTCCATCCACTGAATCTACTTCTGTCCCATATGGAGGCATGTGGGGAAAAATGTGAAATAAAAATACCTGATGTGGGTGAGGACAGACCATCAATACCAGGGTGACAAATGCCTGGAAAAGGCCTCACAGGCCAAATTATGTCATTTTTTTCTTCATCTCTATAATGAAATCCAGTTCAAAGTGGCCGACAGAGACCCTGGTAGGTAGGATCCTTTGGAAAGAGGTTGTCAAGGAGCAAAGGACAGATGAAGAGGCCAATGGTCCAATGAACCTACAGCCTATAGCTCAGGCTGACATTGGTGTGTGAGCCTTGTTGTCTTGCTGGCATCTCCCCATGCAGTGATTCAGGAAAGACTCATGAAGATTATCTCAATGAGTTTTGGTTTCTCTTTTGTCCCTTCTTGTTATTCTTCCAGGAACAGCTGCTGGCAGGAAGAATTATGGTGCTTTATCTGCCTGCTCCATTGCAATAATGAACTTAGAAATAGGTCTGGAAGGAAAAATTAAAAGCAATTGAAAAGTTTCCATTTAAGCTAAGGAAGAGCACAGAAACAACAAGAAAATCTTGAATATGGTATAAAAGACTGAACATTATAAGCAGATTTTAAATGTAAAAGTTACAGGGATATGAAACTGCCAAAACAGAAGAGTCAAACTCATTCACTGGCTGAATTTTAATATATTCATGTGTAGGATGTTCCTGCCTTTACATCTGGTTACTCCAGATTTCAGAGTATATTTTGTTAT